TTTTATAAATGACCTGGATGAGGGCGTAGAAGGATGGGTTAGTAAATTTGCAGATGACACTAAAGTCGGTGGAGTTGTGGATAGTGCGGAAGGATGTTGCAGGTTACAGAGGGACATAGATAAGCTGCAGGGCTGGGCTGAGAGGTGGCAAATGGAGTTTAATGTGGAAAAGTGTGAGGTAATTCACTTTGGAAGGAGTAACAGGAATACAGAGTACTGGGCTAATGGTAAGATTCTTGGTAGTGTGGATGAGCAGAGACATCTCGGTGTCCATGTGCATAGATCACTGAAAGTTGCCACCCAGGTCGATAGGGTTGTTAAGAAGGCGTACGGTGTGTTAGGTTTTATTGGTAGAGGGATTGAGTTTCGGAGCCATGAGGTCATGTTGCAGCTGTACAAAACTCTGGTGCGGCCGCACTTGGAGTATTACGTACAGTTCTGGTCGCCGCATTATGGGAAGGATGTGGAAGCATTGGAAAGGGTGCAGAGGAGATTTACCAGGATGTTGCCTGGTATGGAGGGAAGGTCTTATGAGGAAAGGCTGAGGGACTTGAGGCTGTTTTTGTTAGAGAGAAGAAGGTTAAGAGGTGACTTGATAGAGACCTACAAGATGATCAGAGGATTAGATAGGGTGGACAGTGAGAACCTTTTTCCTCGGATGGTGATGGCTAGCACGAGGGACATAGCTTTAAATTGAGGAATGATAGATATGGGACAGATGTCAGAGGTAGGTTCTTTACTCGGAGAGTAGTAAGGGCGTGGAATGCCCTGCCCGCAACAGTAGTAGACTCGCCAACTTGAAGGGCGTTTAAATGGTCATTGATAAACATATGGATGATAATGGAATAGTGTAGGTTAGATGGGCTTCAGATTGGTTTCACAGGTCGACGCAACATCGAGGGCCGAAGGGCCTGTACTGCGCTGTTATGTTCTATGTTCATTCTCTCACTATTTCCCTTAGAGTAGACTGAGCAATCTAGAACTGTCAGTTATTCTAAATAGCTTGGACTTCAATAAATCACCCTTAATAGCCTAAATTTCAGGAAATACAATCTTAGTTGTATTCCTACTCTTCCCTTAATTTCCATGTCTCCTCCTATGATCTCTCCAAACCTATCCATTAGATCCACCTAACCTCCAATCTGGCATTAGATAGACGACATGTCATGTAGGGCTTTGATCCTTTTACAAAATATAATATCCCTCCCTACAATTATTATTACATCCTGTAAAAATACCACCCACCTCTTTTATCCTCCTGTTGTAAGATGCCATAATCTGAATTCTGGCACACCATCTGACAATCTTCATTCTTGTCCTCCTGTTATAGTTGTTGAATAGTCAGTGATTCATTGACTCAATTACTCATTTCTCATTTTATCTGAGTTCTCCTTAGTCTATTGGTTACACCAACCCTGTCCTGAACCTGTACCTCTCCAGGTGTAGCCTAGTCAGGATACTCCCCTGCACACACTTAAACGTCAACGTGCCTCCAACTTGATCCTAATCTAGTGAGATTCAAGGCAGAAACACCAGCTACTGTCTTCAGCAGCCAAGAGGATTGTAATTTCTCTGTGCTTTGCAGAATTACAAAACTGAAGATGCATGATGAAGCACAGCTGGTGCTTTCTGGTATAATACTGGTTATTCAGGAGATAAACAACTCGAGTGGAACAGAAACTTGCTGATGCAGCTCAACTACATAACTCCTGTTTAGGTAGTTCGACAGTACATCTGACCTGTTGGTTTTTTTTTCGTAGTTTGGTATACAGATGAAATGTGTAGTTTAATAACAATTAAAATTTTAAGTCCATGATTTATGCAAACAATTAAACTCCCTTCTTAAAAGCAGATTGCACCTGATGGAATGCAGTGGTTCAAGAAGGCAACTCACCACACCTCTTAAAGGTCATTGTGAATAGATGACACCCATATTCCATGAAAGAATTTAAAATGAAAATGGAAGGCATATGAATTAAAGCTCAGGACTTAGCATCATCTTAAAAATTTGCAGATTATGATGATGAAGCATCCAGGTGATACTTAATGGAGTTGACAGAAATTTTGATGTCTGGCTGGAGAGTCAGTGAGAGCCTTGTGTCGCCCCTTCTGGAGAAGGCCTGTTGTATTAGCTAGACAATAATGGGCCTTTCCCAGGATCAAGGCACCAGCCAATCAGGGGCTCAGTTGAATGCAATGCTATCACTGAGGTGCTAACTGATGCGAGTATATTGATCCCAGGCCACTGGTGAATGATCAGGCCTTCAATCAGACACTCCTCCCAGAAGCTCTCAACCAATACCAAAAGAGTTTGCTGCTTGTGCTCCCTGCATGTTGAGACCTCTGCTCACCACTGGGTTAATACTAATGGCAGCAGAATTACTCCCTTGGGGGGCCTCAACTGACAATGGGGCTGCTTTGGCCATCTGTGGAGCTTCCCACCGTCGACGTAATTGAGGTGAAGTGGGAAGGTAACAAGTGAGGGGCTGATAATGTAGTGGTATTGTTGCTGGACAAGTAATCCATAGACCCAGGAAATCTCATAGGGACTCGGATTCAAATCCCACTATGGCAGATGGTAGAATTTATAGTCTGACTATGAAACAATTGTCAATTAGACCATAAGAATATAAGATGTAGGAGCTGATAACCTTCAACTCCACTTTCCTATCTCTTCCCTATAACCTTTCATTCCCTTACTGACTCAAAATCTCTCTCTTAACTTTGCATAAATTTAACGACCCAGCCTCAACAGCCCTTGGTGGTAAAGAATTCCACAGATTTGTTAGCCTCTGATAGAAGAAATTACTTCTCGTCTGTGTCTTAAACGTGCAACCCCTTATTCTGAGATTATTCCCTTTGGCCCTAGACTCTCCCACAAGGGAAAACAACCTCTTTGCATCTACCCTAAGAATCTTGTATTTTCAATAAGGCTGCCTCTCATTCTTCTAAACTCTAATGAGTTCAGGCCAAACTTACTCAATCTCTCCTCATAACAGTACCTTTCATACCTGGTATCAACCTAGTGAAACTTCTCTAGACTCTCTCCAATGCCAGTGTATCTTTCCTTTTAAAAGGGGCCCAAAATTGTTCATCGATTTCGCTGTGGTCTGACTGGTGCTTTGTATAGCAGTACCGCTCTATGTTTGGAATAAGGCAAATGGAATGTAGGTCTTGTCCTTTTACTTGGTGAATTTGGGTACCAGCTTTTTGCACTTTATGTATGAGGATTCCCAAAGCAGCTTTATGGAGTCAAAGCATTTAAATAATATTCAGCTCCTCTATTCTTCCTGTGAAAGTGCATAAAATCACACGGTTTCTATCTGCCAAGTCTTTGCCCACTTACATAACCTGTCTGCATCCCTCTGCACATTCTGTATCCATTTGCCATTTGCCTTCAGCTATTTGTGTCATCCACAAGCTACACCATATATATTTAAAATAAACTCGTTTACCAAGTTTTTTTTAATTAGCGATAGAAATATGCCATTCTTGCCTGATCTGGCCTACATATGACTCCAGACCCACCACAATGTGCTTGACTCTCCCTCTTCACTGTTCTCTGAAGTGTTATACCAAGGCACTCTTTGTATCAAACCACTGAAAGTGTCGCAAAGAATGAAACCGGTCAGACCACCTGGTCTTGACCTAGGCAGTGGAAATGACATTGGCAAAAGCAGCCTTGTCAACCCTGCAAAACTATGGGTAGAGCCAAAATTGGGAATGTTGTCTCATTGATTAATCAAGTTACACTCTGTCTATAAATTATGATTCAGTGAGTACGACTGTGTATCCCAAATAGCACTAATAACCCTCCCTGAGTCTGTCATGTCCCAGTAGCAGTTCAGACCAGGCAGAGGTGGCAGCACAATGGTCTGGTCAGGAGGGAGTTGTCAGGGAATCCTTGAAATAGACTCCTGAACTCATGAAGTTTCAAGATAAGAAAACCTCTTGATCAATCAGTACTCCTTCATGTTGAGCACCACTTGGAAGAAGCACTGAGGGTGGCATAAAACAGATTGTGCTGTGGATGGAGGACCTCGATGTCCATCACCATGAGTGGCTAGACAGCACCATTACTGACCTAGCTGGTCAGCTGAAGTGTACCATTTACAAGATGCACTGCTGCAACTCCAAGGCTGATTTTTGCCAGCACTTTCCAAGCCACCTGTACCACAGAAGGACAGGGACAACATACATAGGATATATCACCCCAACCCTCCAAGTTGCTTACCATCATGACTTGTAGCTATATTGCCATTCCTTTATTTGCTGGGTCAAAATCCTGGAACTCCATAACAGCACCACGGGTGTCCCTGCACCCCAAGAAGGCAGCTCTTTCGGGCACTCTGAGATGGGCAACAAATGGTGGCTTAGCCAAATGTGCAAGGGGTGAGGACATCAAATTCTCTGAATCATATCTACTTTGATTTGTACAATCTGAGTTTTGGCACTTTAACATTTACTGTCATGAATGTCTGTGTATAGTGATATAGTGTTTCTTGTGTATTGCTATGTTTTGTTACTTTGAGCTTAAAGATGTTAGACTTAATGAATTTTTTTGGACTGAGAAGTGGGCTTGGGGCAGGGAGGGGGAGGGACAGAATTGAGATATTACGTATAAACTAAAGTTTTATAGAACGCCCTTCCAATATTGCACCTTTTGGTACTTATGCCAGGTGGTCCTAACCATCACGAATTAATTTAAATAGCTATTGTGTACACATTGCTATGAGAAAGTCAGTATGCAACTACAAACCATGTATAAACTTGCACACTGTGTGCACAAAACTTAGTCATATTTTGTGTACCTGCTAACTCATTTTATTACACAGTGAGCAACCTGGTACTCTTAAATTAATTTACATTCTTAAGGCTGCAATTTGAGTGCTTGTGGACTTGCTTAGTATTAAATATCAAAATGCTTGTTTTTATTTTGTAATTTTCCAATATCGACTGCATGGTTTCACTGGTTATGTTTTGTTTCTTAATGGTTACAGGTGTTGTGACAAGCGGTTGTGGACTACAATTAACCTGAGTGGCTGCAAATCAATCACTCCAACTATGCTGAGTGGGATCATCAGGAGACAGCCCATCGTACTGAACCTTAGCTGGACAAACATATCCAAAAAGCAACTCAGTTGGCTAATAAACAAATTACAGAGTAAGCCTGGCTCATGTATTTGTGAAATCTGAGAAGATATCTTGTGCCTGTACAGATATCTCTAGAACAAGGCTGATTGTATTAACATCCTTGTTAAAAATGTAATACTGCAAGGCAGGAATGTGGAACAGTTTAATTATGTACTAATTTAATTTAAATTTGCTAATTTAAGAACATTCCCTACAGTAGGCACTCCATTTAAAATTATAACATAGAAATACTATGCTGAAGATTCCCAGGAACTACTGCAGTTCACGTGGGTAGAACTCATAGTTTTAGGATAAGGGGTAGCAGATCTAAAACTTAGATGAGGAGGAATTACTTCTCTCAAAGGGTCATGAATCTGTGGATTTAACCATTACCTCAAGATGTGGTTGATGCTGGGACATTGAGTAAATTTAAGGAGGTAATAGGTCGAAGTGTGATGGAGAGTAGGCAGGAAAGTGGAGTTGAGGCTACGATAAGATCAGCCATGATTATATTAAATGGAGGAGCAGGCTTGAGGGCCTGAATTGCTTCTACTTCTGGTGTTCAGTGCTGTTCTTGGATTTTGGCCAAATGACAGTGAGGGAACAGTGATTACAGTTCTAAGTTAGGGTAGTGTGTGGCTTGGAGGGGAGTGGACACGCAACAGTATTCCCACCTGATCTGCTGCCCTCATCATCCTAGACAAGAGATTGTGGATTTGGTAGGTGGTGTCTGAGGATCCTTGGTGAATTTCTTCAATGCTTCTTACAGCTGTCACTATGCATCACTGGTGGGAGTGCACGATTGAAGGTGTGGTGCCAGTCAAGTAGGTCCTTTGTCAACTTCCTGCATGTTGTTAGAGCTGTATCCATTCAGGCAAGTGGGGAATATTCCAGCTAGCTCCTGAATTATGTCTTCTAGATTAGTTTTGCTGTAATGTGTTTGGATAAACTGCTTCAGGATAGTGATTAAGATTTTGCTTTGAATTGGTCCAATTTGAAGAGAATACATTTGGCTTGGAACTAGTTTATAGTTAACTGAAGACCTATTTGATGAGAAGATTAGAGTTGTGAAAGGGGGCATTTATTTATGACTATCGGGTCAGTCTGAAGTGATTTCACTTTTCATAGTCACTGGAGTTAGGGTTAATTGAAGCCTGAATCCAGAATCAGAGCCTGATGACGCAACCTAAATATCCCTGGGGAAAAGGGGTGGGCAAGGGTCACACTCTTCATTCTTTTCGCAGTGCCAATGTAAATATCTTAATATTGTGGCACTTCATGATTCAAATTAAAGTACTTGCAGGATGTTGCAAGTCACTGAAATAGAGGGGAATTCAGTCCATATTGCTCTAGAGACTGTTGCCATCTAAATGGACTGTAACAAAATTGGAAATCTGTCTTGTGATTTGAGATAAATGTATAAACACTTGTATAATTCTCTAAGATTTATCCAATTAACTTATACAATTGCAGGGCTCCCATTTAACCATGTGATACACTTGATGCCCAACTTCCCTTATTACAGGGATAGTAGGAACTGCAGATGCTGGAGAATCCGAGACAACAAGGTGCAGGGCTGGATGAACACAGCAGGCCAAGCAGCATCATAGGAGCAGAAAGGCTGACGTTTCGGGCCTAGACCCTTCATCAGAAAAGGGGGAGGGGAAGGGGGTTCTGAAATAAATAGGGAGAGAGTGGGAGGCGGATAGAAGATGGATAGAGGAGAGGATAGGTGGAGAGGAAACAAACAGGTCGAAGAGGCGGGGGTGGGGCCAGTAAAGGTGAGTGTAGGTGGGGAGTTAGGGAGGGGATAGGTCAGTCCAGGGAGGACGGACAGGTCGAGGGGGCAGGATGAGGTTAATTGGTAGGAGATGGGGGTGCGGCTTGAGGTGGGAGGAGGGGATAGGTGGGAGGAAGAACAGGTTAGGGAGGCGGGGACGAACTGGACTGGTTTTGGGATGCGGTAGGGGGAGGGGAGATTTTGAAGCTTGTGAAATCCACATTGATACCATTGGGCTGCAGGGTTCCCAAGTGGAATATGAGTTGCTGTTCCTGCAACCTTCGGGTGGCATCGTTGTGGCACTGCAGGAGGCCCAGGATGGACATGTCGTCTGAGGAATGGGAGGGGGATTTGAAATGGTTCGCAACTGGGAGGTGCAGTTGTTTATTGTGAACCGAGCGTAGGTGTTCTGCAAAGCAGTCCCCGAGCCTCTGCTTGGTTTCCCCGATGTAGAGGAAGCCACACCGGGTGCAGTGGATGCAGTATACCACATTGGCACATGTGCAGGTGAACATCTGCTTGATGTGGAAAGTCTTCTTGGGCCCTCCTACCCTCCCTCGACCTCTTCATCTCCAACTGCCGTAGAGACATCAATCACCTCAACCTCTCCACCCCTCTCGCCCACTCCAACCTCTCCTCCGCAGAACGTGCAGCCCTCCGCTCCCTCCGCTCCAATCCCAACCTCGCCATAAAACCCGCGGACAAGGGAGGCGCAGTTGTAGTATGGCGCACTGACCTCTACATCGCCGAGGCCAGATGCCAACTCTCCGACACCACCTCCTACCGCCCCCTTGATCAAGACCCCACCCCTGAGCACCAAGCCATCATCTCCCAAACCATCCACAACCTCATCACCTCAGGTGACCTCCCACCCACGGCCTCCAACCTCATTGTTCCCCAACCTCGCACTGCCCGTTTCTATCTCCTTCCCAAAATCTACAAACCTGAACGCCCTGGTCAACCCATTGTCTCCGCCTGCTCCTGCCCCACCGAACTGATCTCCAACTATCTGGACTCCATTTTCTCCCCCTTGGTCCAGGAACTCCCTACCTATGTCCGTGACACCACCCACGCCCTCCACCTCCTCCAGAACTTCCAATTCCCCGGTCCCCAACACCTCATCTTTACCGTGGACGTCCAGTCCCTCTACACCTGCATTCCCCATGCAGATGGCCTAAAGGCCCTCCGCTTCTTCCTGTCCCGCAGGCCCGACCAGTCCCCCTCCACTGACACCCTCATCCGCTTAGCCAAACTCGTCCTTGCCCTCAACAACTTCTCTTTCAATTCCTCCCACTTCCTACAGACAAAGGGGGTGGCCATGGGTACCCGCATGGGCCCAAGCTACGCCTGCCTCTTTGTAGGTTACGTGGAACAATCCCTCTTCCGTACCTACACCGGCCCTAAACCCCACCTCTTCCTCCGTTACATTGATGACTGTATCGGCGCCGCCTC